AAAGTGCCAGCATTTGGTCCAGAGGTCTGCTTGAAGCCTGGCCCTGCTGCCTACCTCCAGCAGAGACCCCAGCTGCCTTCTGCTGCTGTCAACCTGAGCAGGGATGTGTGTAGCCTCGGATGGGTACCAGAGCCTGGGGTGTGTGGGCAGAGGGGCTTCTCAGACAAAGAGGGCACCTCATGAACTCAAGGCTATAGAGCTAAGCTTCACAGAGACAATCATGACTTGCTGGATTCTAAAACCTCAGGTCCTGGAAAGAAACCATTCATTCAAAAATACAGAGAGAAAAAAAAAAAAGTTTTGTACTTACTTAGCTTCAAGCCAGGCGTGGTGGCACATACCTATAATCTCAGTACTAGGAAGGCTGAGGAGAAAAACTGCTGTGAAACTACATACTGAGACCTTGCTTCAAACAAAGAAACACGATTTTTTCCTTTTTCATAGAGGGCCTTTATCTCACTTTTATCTCCCCATTTTCACTTTGTAGGTTTCTCTTCACTATTTTCTGCACTATGCAGTTAATTAAAATTTTTATTTATTTATTTATTTATTTGGTACAGGATCTTGCTACACAGCTTGGACTCTTAGCAATCCTGTTTGCAGTCTCTCCAGTGCTAGAGATTATAGGCATGTGCCACCATACCCAGTCTCCGTGGGCGGCTCAGCACGCCCAGGGGTAGGGCCAGCACAGCATGTGGTGCTGGGGATCAAACTCTGGTCCCTGTGCTTGCCTATGCAGGCACTTAACTCTGCTATCTCCCTGGCCCTATGCAGTTAATTTGACATGATTCCATTTGTTGGCTGTTGGTGCTATTTATTATGCAACTAGGGTTCTGTTCAGAGAGCCCATGCCTACACTTACGTCAAGTTTTGCCTATTTAATCTTCCAGCAGATTGCTTGTTTTTACTTAGTGGAGATACTGGCTTAACCGCAGGTTTCTGCATACGAGTAACACATTTTCCTAGCACCATTTATTAAGAAGCTATCTTCCTTTTGTCAAAGATCAGACAGCAAATGTGGCTGGATCATAAAGAATTCACCTGTGCTACTGTATAAATTCAGGGACAAAGGCTGAGTTGGTCTATTGGGGGATGAGGAGGGAGGGCAACGATGGGAATCCTGATGTTTTTGTCAGGATCTGTGTGGCCCAGGCTGGCCTGGAACTTGGGATGATCCTCCTGCATCAGCCTCCCAGGTGCTGGGATTATCAGTACTGTGCGTGAGCTAGTGCTGGTAATCCCTGGAGGACTCCTGATTTATTTTCCTCTCTTGTGGCCACGGAGCACCCAAGTGCCTCTCTCCTCTCCTCATAGAGCAAGCAGGTGGGTCTGGCCCTACCTGAACCAGGTGCTGTGCCTGTTCATAGGTGCTCTGGGCACCTCAGCCTTTGGCCTGGTAACTATAAAGCTGAATTTCTTGTTGGCTTTCGTGTTTGGGACACTGCACTCAAGTTCCACAGGGACAGGGGTCACAGTTTGCCCAGAGAACATTAGGTGGGGTGGAGGTAACAGAGGGTGAGCACACCATCACTGGGCAGCTCCAGGGGCAGTTGAGGCTGCAACCTTACTGCCACTCACTGGGGCACAGAGGTGCTACTTAGAGAACTTGAAGTATGGCTTTCCTAAGATATTTGGGGTTCAACTACATCTCATGGGGCTGCTTTGGGAAATCCTGGCTGAGCAAGCATCCCCTTTTCTGGCTCTGCTGGTGTCACAGTGGCAGGACGAGCAGGGCCTCCAGCATGCAGACAGGAGGCAGTGCAGGCCTCCCACCTCCTGCTGCAAGGAGTGCACCGTCTTGTTAGCTCTGGGAACACCTGGGAGAGCTGCTGGTGGCCTCCACAGAAGCCCACCGTGAGACCCGACAGACAGCTATGGACATAAGGAGAGGTATACCAGCTTCCCAGGCTTATACACAGCCTAAGAGCAGGAATCAGCTCTGAAGAGGTTAAGGTGGAACCTAGGACCAGCCACTCGCTCCCTGAAAAGTCCTCATACACTGGCAGGAGGTGCCAGTGCTGTGAATTTCCACAATGTAGGCTTTATCTGTGATCCTGAGCTCTGCTCTGCACAGGACCCCCTAGAGATCACTCAGTATTAGGCCACACCCAGGCGAGTTAAATCAGAATCCCTGGGTGTGGTGTTGAACCACTTAAGCTCCCCGGGCGTTTCCCAAGTGCAGAATGAGAACCTTCGATCTAAGTGGACTTTGGCAAAAAGTTGGGGTTGATGGCTTAGGAAGTGTGAAATTTTCGACCCTATTTGAGTATCTGTAAGTGAAGTAAAACTGCACGGGGCCAGGGGAGCTGCAACAGGCTCAGGGTTTTCTCCCACCCTAAGCTGTGTGACCTCGAGGGGGCTGCTGTGTGGTTGATCCACAGGAGTCTGCAGGGGGAGGTGCTGATGTGGACACTCCACCTAACCTCATTCCGAGGCCCTAACACTTCAGGTTGGCAAGCAGCACTTTGTAAGTGGTCCCTAACCTTAGCTGGTTTGTAGACACAAACCACCTGAGGGTCCCACCATTCCAGTGTAACACCAAACCCACAAAACTCCCTGCTATCTACCAGGATGGCCACGATATATACAGAAAAAGTCTACAGTAGGATGTGGAAACATTGGAACCCAGTGGGAATGTAAAATGGTGAAGCTGCTGTGGAAGATACAATGTTTCTTTTTTTGTAATTTTTTTTTTTTTTTTTTTGGTGGTACCAGGGATCAAATTCAGGACCTTGTGCTTGTCAGGCAAACACTTATTCCACTGAGCTATCTCCCTAGCCTGTTTCTTTGTAAATTAAAAAAAAAAATATTTATCTATTTGATACAGTTCAGATTCACAGTGATCCTTCTGTCTCAGCCTCCCCAGCACAGCATGTGGTACTAGGGATCAAACTTGGGTACCTGCATTTGCCAGGTAGGCGCTTAGACTGCCAAGCTGTCTTTCCAGCTCAAAGACAGGTTTCTTAAAAAAATTTAGAACAAATTGCCACAGGATCCAGAAATTCCACTTCCAGGTACATACATACCCTAAAGCAAGCCAAGGTCTCTGTTCATTACTTTTTTTTTAAGATAGGGTCAAGCTATATATACATAGCCCAGGCTGGCCTCAAACTCATGGTGATCTTCCTGCCTCAGCTCCCTGAGTGCTGGGATCACAGGTGTATGCCACTACGCAGTTCATAGCATTTCAGTCACAGTAGCCTACCATACAGGAGGCTGTGGGCTCACCCTCAAGCCAGTACTGCCAAAGTTAAAAAAAAGTAGAGATTTTGCAACTGCTCCATCTTCTTCACCAAATTGGGTACAGGCCTATTTGTGGCTCTTTTCCAAAATTCTAGGGCACCTCAGAAGCCACATTTGCAACCCTAAGACTATTGCAAAGATGTCATAGCCTGCCAACACTGGAACATGACTGAAAGCTAGATTAGATGTTTTTGCCTCATCCATCAGGGCAGGTAAAGGTGTAAAAAGAGGTGCGGGAATGGGTGGGGGCAGAGCTGATTAAGGAGGCCGCAGCCCTGCCAGGGCTCAGGGGCTGCTCTTTCATCTTTGTATGCTCCAACCTGGGTGGGGTGGTCCCCAGGGAACTATGGCCCCAGCTTACTCACCCGTTAGATGCAGCAACACCGGGGTACCTTGTGATCTCCTGAAGGTTCTCTTGCATGGAAATCACCAAACAGTATTCAGCTTTCACCTCCAAGAATGAGTACCCAACCCTGCAGGCTGGGCCTCTGCAGCACAGGGCTTCACAGGGACTGTCCTCACCTCTACAACCCTGTCTCATGCAGGTGCAGGGGGCATGGCTGTCTGGAGGGAGCAGTGTAGCACCGCACCCCTAGCAAGGTCTTCCTTCATTTAACTCCTCCCGCCCCCACCATCCCTTCAAGGGCAATGCAGCTCCCCCACCGCTGGAGCACAGCTCCTGCTTCCAGTTTTTGTCCTGTGCTGGCCACTGGGCCAGAGCTGGAAGGGGGAACTGGTGAGACAGATGGGGGTGGTGGTGAGGGGGCCTGCATGAGATGAGGTCTACACCCACAACCTCAGATGAAAGCTAAAAGAGGGACTGGGGTCTACCTGTGCTGAAAAAAATCCCAGTTCTGGGTTTTTTGCTCTAAATGCAGAAACCTACAGACCACAGAAAAAACTAAAAAATCCAGGTCAGGGTTTTGCCTCCCTCCCAACAGCTAGTTCCAGTGATGTTTATTGCTCAGCCTGAGTAGGAATAACATTAGACAAAAATAGAAATAGCCTCTGCTTTTACAAAGCTTCCGTCTAGGCCTCTGCCTTTTCTGTTTAAGCCAGGTGAGTTGCTGCTGTGTGGGGCACGCAGAGGGCTGGCTAGCTCTGCATATGCAGGAACCACAGGACCGGATGAGCCTGAGACCAGAGCCAGGGAAGTTGGACAGCATGATCAAGGCCCCAGTGTGGGATTCTGTGAGCGGAGCTGCAGGGCCTGGAGAGACGCTAGAGGCCTCAGGACTCTGCCACAGCACAGGCACAGACACTGGGCTGGGGGACTGTGCAGCCTGCCCCTGGCCAAGGACTCTAGGTTCGAAGCCCTGAAGTTTTGGAAGAGCCTTAAAGGGCAGGCCACTGAGTGGCAAGTTCTGTGTTTACACTCACTAGAGACCCCAAGAAAGCTGTCTGCAGTTACCTGCATGCACAGCAACAGGATCTCCTGTCCCTACACTGGAGGTGCCGTGGGTCCCCAACAGCAGAAAACAAGGCATGTGCCCTTGGTCCTTCAGGAAACATTCTGGGCCTTCTCCTGAGCATCTGCAGTGCATGCGAAGCCCCAGCCATTTTGTAGGAACTCAGTGTTGTTACAGTCCTGACATGGGGCAGGGAAGAGCAACAGTGCCACTTCCTACTTCTGCCCAAAGCCCAGCTGCTTTGTGGAGTCTGAGTTCCCTGCTGTGCTCTGAACCACCTCGGAGTCTAGATCTTCTGGCCCTCTTCCATGCTGGTTACGCCTGCACCCAGGACCTTTAGGCTGGGCAAACGGTGCTGCAGCAGCCGCTATCTCAGGGGCTGCTTGAGCTCAAACAGGCCTGTTCCGCCCTTGACAACCTTCCCGACCATGAGGCAGGCTGAAGGGGACTTCAGCTCATCGTGGGATCCTGTGAGACACACAGAACCTATGTCAGGGTTTTGTGGGGAAAACTGAGGGTGACATGGGGGGGGGGGGGATGGATGGGCATGTGCTCAACACTGGGGTGTGAGGCTGAGGTCCTGTGGCTGACAGCCATGTGGCATTGTAGGAGGCTCCCACCTTTAAAGAGGGGGGCACCCTTCTTCTTTGGAACACAGGGCAGTTTTCTTGTCTGCTGCCCCCACCCAGCCCTACCATTCTGCAATCTCCCAGGACTGCAAAGTGCTATGGAAAGGGGCCCCATAAGACAGGCCACTTAGAGGCATGGCCCACACTGACCCATCATGGTGGCCTGCTTCAGAAACTGGAAGCTGGTTTCAAACGTCATCTGCTGCAGAGGAGAGGAGCTTGACCTGATCCCAAAGCGATTCAACGGCTTGTAAACACCCTCAAAGCACATATAATCAGCAACCAGGGACAGATGGCGAGGATCCACTGTAATGCCTGTCACGGGAGTGGTAACATTGGCAAGGATTAAGCAGTGATGAGGGGAACAGCTGGGAAGCACCATCAGACAGACGGGCCTGGCTGCTCCAGCTCATGCCCTAGGACTCCCTCCCAGCTCTGTCACCTCTGTGCCTGAGGACCATGCTGTGCCTATATCCTGCCCACCCAGCAGCCTCAGAAGTGATGAGCCATCTGTACTGTATTCCCTGGGGAACCAGAACCCTGCAGGCCAGATGGGCCAAGTCACTGAACTTTTGGGAGCTTCCCAAAGACACCAGCTGCTGAGAACCACTGGGGGGCTCCATGATGGGGCCACCAGCCCCTCATGTTCCCTCCAGGACTCAGACACTGTGGTCACCTACTGTACTTGTACTGTACCCACACTGCAGTTTTGCCTTGGCACACAGCCAACTCAAGCCTGACCCTCTGGGGTGTTTTGGACACCCCTCCTACCATATACAGCAAACACATCCTTGATCTCCTTCTCAATCACGCGTAGTGCAGCCTCGATGCCATATGTGTTGGCCATGGCATGGATGTCATTGGAATAGAGTCGGCGCAGGTCCAGCACCTGGGAGAGGAAGGAAGAGCTCAGGGCCTACCCTGCTGCTCCTTTTGTCTACACAGCCGCCACCCCTGCTGCACTCTCTTACATGCCCGGTAACAGCAAGGCCAATGAGCAAGTATGCAGAGGTGGCCAGGATGAATGGAAGGGAAGCTGATGACCTGCTGGCCAGGCTTCAGGCCTCTCTTCTGCTGTAATTAATGACTCAGGACACACTTGAGATTCAGTATGAAGGAAATTCCTTACACAAACAGCTGTTTACTACTGTTTACAGATGGTTCCCGCAGCGGAACCCCTCAAAGCTCTATAGGACACACATGCAGGGATGGGCCTTAGGGGTCTGTCAGGGCTCACCAGAGATTTGAGGCTACAACTGTGCCATCCTGGAGCAGTCCTCAGCGGCTCTGCACTGTGCCTGGAAGGGGCACTACCCCAGCACTAGGACATTCCACAGAAGACAGGCGACCTGCCTGGTCTTTGCTGACACAAACCCCACAAGCACATGTGACCCCGAGCACTTCCCATGGAAATGGGAGTGGATTCCCAGGAGGTACAGGCTCTTCCTTCTCCTCCTCCTCCAGGGCCATGGTTGGTGGGGGCAGAAGTGGGCAAGGCAAGAGGGGCTCTGGTGACATAATGCCTGCTGAAGGAAAAGGCACTGGGGCCCCCAAGCTTATTAGTATCCTGTATGGGAACCTGTGTCCAGGGTAGAGCAATTCAGAAAGGATGAACATGCTGGAGAGCAGGTGGGACAGGAGCGTGGGCTGTGGCCAGCACTACTTGGGCTGTGCTGGGTTAGGTGGGGACTCCTCTACCGGATAAAGGAAGATCTAGGCCAGTGATACAATACACTTCTTATAACCTGCCTTGGCAAGGTCTTAACTTCAAAACTTTAAAAATGTATGGAAACACTAAAGTGAACTTGATGCACAGCGAGCTGCAGAAGGCCCACGGGCCCAGCTGGAGTCTCCAGGGGCAGGACAGGACCTGTGCACTCAGGCTTGGGAACATAACTTCCACGCATGAGCAGCTGAGGAGGCACACGCACCTCAGAATACTTGAACAGCTCTGGGAGGTTGATTCCTTCTGTGTTCAGCACAAGCTCTTTCTCGTTCTTGCTGTTGGTGGTCTCGTTCAGGAGGCACCGAGTGATGCCCTTCGTTGTATAGACAACAGCACTGTGGGCTAAGGACATGATGAGGGAGCTCATGTCGAAGTTAATTTTCATCATAGGGAGCTTCAGCGTCACCTACAAGAGCATGAGAGTAGGGGGTTGAAGGGGCCAGGCTCCTAGGCACCCTAAAAGCCCTCTTGGTAGAGAGCCTGCCACATGAGCTGCCAGGGCCCTGAACAGTGTGTGGCTTTACTGACAGAGAGCAGCCAACTTGCTCACTCACATTCAAGGAGGCAACAGTGGAGCTGCATGGTCACAGACATCAGTGACGATGTAGGGGCCAGTGCCCACTCAACCTTGCCCTGTTGTCCTTCAAATGCCAAGGGGGTCCATGTTGCTCTGGGCCTGGGATCCCACCTGAGTCCTCTAAGTTGCACTACCAGCTGGGAACCATTGACGCAGGCCCAAGGGAAGATGAAAAATAAGCCTTTGAGATGCTGAGGCTTCTCTATCATCCAGCCTGGAAGGCCCCAGGGCAAGGGCTGTGCCCCACACTGGGAGCTCTCAGCCTCCTGTTTGCTGTCAATGAGGCCTGTGTGCTGAGGACCAAGTGAGGTGACACTGTGGAAAGAACCTGCAGGGTCTGGCAGATGATTTGCATCCTGTTCCTGAACAATGGAAAGGGCTCTAAAGTGGCACTTGTGGGGCTGTGCTCTGGTGCTGAGAGTTTGGGTGTCACCAGACTCAGAACTCTCATGCCTGCAATCTGGCAGAGCAGGGGGCCAGCATAGTTGTCCAGATCCAGCTGTGCTCTGCACTGACCTGGCACCACAGGCTGGCCTCCGTGTCATACTGGTAGTCCTCAATGAATGAGTGGGCCTCACGCACAGCCTGGACACGGCGCTCCACAGCCTCGGCTCCTTGGGGTTCCCGGCGGCGGCAGGGAAGTTTCTGAGGCAAGTCCTCCTCAGCGGCCGAGCCTACCTCCTCATCTGGTTCGTGGGCCTGGTTGGCATCCTCACCATGGATGTTCCCACCATCCTGTGTGTCCTCCTCATCTTCTTCTTCCTCTTTCTCCTCCTCTTCCTCACTCTCATAATCCACCTGGTAAAAAACAGTGGACCTACACTTTGTGTCTGGAACAAGTACCCTAAAATGGCTGTGTCTGGCTCAGGCCCAAAGGCGCAACCTGCCCCACACTCCCAGCCTCTCTGCCCTGGTTACCTTCCTCCCCACACACCACCTGAGCCCTCCCTGTGCAGGCCCTTGGGCCTGCCTTGTCTCTGCAGAGACTGCAGTAGGACCAGTCTAGGGTGTGTGTGTGTGGGGGGGGTATCATGTCTGCACTGCACGCCCTCCTAACTAGTGACCAGAGGCTTCCATGGATCCTGCAAATCTGGGGGCAACCAGATCCCAGGGGGGGATCCCTGAAGTCTATCTGCTCAGTCCAGAGGTGTGCTACACAGGCAGGCCTTGCTGCAGGGCTCCTGTGGGCTTCCAGTGGACAGAGACCACAGCCTTCTAGTGCCAGAGGAGAGATGTGACCACAGGCCCTTCACTGCAGCCAGCCCCTCACCTCTTCTTCCTGCTTCGCCTTGCACTTTGTGTCTGAGGCGTCAGCATCCCCCTCCTCAGCTTCAGCATCCACAATGTTCCCCTCTTCTTCCTCATCGCCCTCCTGCTCTCCCTGGGACGAGAAGGAAAATGATTAGTTCCAATACCTGGTGCTCCATGTATGTGTCTCTGCACCTAGCTAGCAGGTTGTTCACCCATCTGCCCCCCACCTGCCTTTCCATTCACCCACTCAGCCACTGTGCTGCCCACTACCACTTCCCAGGTGCCCATCTACCACCCTTCTCCATTTCACTCCTGTTCTGATACCCCCAAGCCCACAGCAACTAGCTAGCCCCAGGTTCCAGGCTGCTTTCCCTTCAGACTCCATACACATCACCTGTAACATCTTCCATTTGGAAACAAAAAGTGCTAGGGTAGGCCCAGGGAGAGAGCTCAGAGGCATAAGCACCTACTTGGCAAGTACAAGTGCTAGGGCTTTTCAAGTCCTTAAAAGATGGTGTAAAATATTGTTCCAAATATTTTTTTCATCATTTTTGTTGCGGGATGGGAAAAGGAGAAAGGGTATAAGTACCCAGTTTTTAAGTCACTAAGTATTCTATCAAGACAATCCTCCATCCCTTTTTTGTCACTGAGGGTTGCCTTATTATACAATGTCTCTCTGGTCCCTGCCAGCTCTCTGGCAGAAAGGGACCTGCAGAGCGCTGAGAACAGTTACAGAGCCTTTCCTGGAAGATCACGGGACCCCTCCACCCCACCCTGCCCCAGGACTGTCCCTGTATGGCCCAAGTGCACCCTAGGCCTTGCTCACCTGGGTCCTCCTTGATTCTCCAGCATCACTGAGATCCCGCTGTGTAGCTCTCCGAGTGTTCACACTCCGGAGGGCTGATGCTTTACTATGCTTCTTTTTGATGGATTCCATCAGAAGCTTAAAGAACCTGAAGCAAGAAGACAGCCATGCTCCAATGTCAGTACCACGTGGCCTGCCCTCCCTTCATGGTGCAGCGGGATGCCGAGGGAATCCACAGGAGAGGAAAGCACAGGATGGAGGCCAGTCTCTCCTGTCCTCTCGCTCCCCTTCTCCCTTCTGAGCAGGAAGGCCTGGTCAGCCTCTTGGCTCAGTCACGTGCAGACTGCATGGCTTTCAGCCTGGTTACCTTGCTATCACTGCTTGTTTACATAGTGTGGGTATTAGTATGGTATAATCTTAATCAGAATTGACCCTGTGTCTGATACTTTTCCCAGAATGAAGACTTTGGAAAAGCTCACCAGAATTTCAAAGGACAGTGACGAGATGCTTTGCAGCAATAAACCATGTCAGTTAGAACCCAATCAGCCAGGAAGAAGACAGGGCAGCTCAGAGCCTTTCCTGGCCCCTTGCCCATGTCCGAGTTGGGGCTTCCTCCTGCTCGCTCCACAGTGCTGCTTCTCTCAGCCTCTGCCTCTTTATTGGCTGGAAGAGCTGATCTACCCCGACTGTTCCCAGCTGTAGGAGCTTCGGGGCCTTGTATACCCTATGCCAATGTGCAAGCCCTAGGCGCAACATGAGGGAGAAATGGCAGGTTCCCGGCCCCCAATGAGCCGAGTTTTAATCTGAAAAATAGATGGGTTGCAGGTTTACTGTTCTGCTCATTAAAAACAAAACTTCCTTCGTTTCTGGGTAACTTTTAAAAGAGGTACATGGTTTTGCTGCAGTTTCTGTTCATGGCAGAGAAAAGGCTCCTCACCCATTAATCTAGTGACATACTTGTTCAGCAGGCAGTGAGGTTGGGGACAGGAGGACAGAGGCCATCTGGTTTTGCTGCAGAGGGACAGGGAAGGTTCTGTGTCAGCCTGCGGAGGAGCACCTGGATCTGTGTGCCGCGGTGCACTCTCCTCACAGGAGGCCACTGTGCAGAGCAGAGATGGAGTGAAACAAAGGTGCAGGTCCCCTCTGCCGGACCACTGCTCCAGCTTATCAGGCTGGGCCAAAGTGAAGATGCAACTCCTCCAAGAAGCCCTGCCCAATGCCCCAGGAGGGGATTTCTGCCCTGCCTGTCTGGTCACCAGGACAGGCGGCACTTGGGATATGATGAGGGAGCAGAACAAACAGTGGCTGGTGTGTAGCGGACGCGTGGCAATGTGCCAGTGTTGCCCGGGAGGTGTAGCCATTGCCTGTCTGTGATTGTGAAGCAAGGGAAGGGGTGGTCCACAAGAACTGCTTTCTGAGAGTGCTGCTGTCAGAATGCAAGCAAAGGGAACCACAGGGGCAGGTGGCAGGGTAACCTCCCAGCCCATGCAGATCACTACAAACTTGGAACATGACCCTTTGCTATCTCTTAAAGTGCTTGTTAACAGCTCTGCCAACTGCTAGGCAGAGTTAAGAGTCACAGACACTCAACCTACAAGGATCACGGGCAGGGTCAGCTCATGCCCCGGATGGAGGCCAGGACCTACAGCCCCAACTCCTGGCCCAGTATTCTTCTTCATCTCCTGCCCACCTTGCAGATCATTAGCATAAATACTCAAGTGGCGAGCACCAATACAGCCAGCCAGGCAGCTTTAGTGTTTATACATCTCCACCCATTCAAGCGGCTCCCTATCTCTTCTTTTTCACTCTACTTTATGTCAAAAAAGCCTCATGATCCCACAATAGGGAATGAAGGGACAGGAGAAGACACTGGTGGAAAGAACAGGAAGAAAGGAAAGAAAAAGAGAAACCTCACAGAGAGGAAACATGACTCTTCTGAAAGCATACCTTACCCACTTCCATCTCCTGTTAAAGCACAGAAGCTTTAACAAGGCTGGCTGCACCACCGCTGGGCCCACACTGGGGTGCTAACCTCAGCCCATTTACTTTATTTTTTTTTTTTTTGTGGTACCGGGGATTGAACTCAGGATCCTGCACTTATTCTACTGAGCTATCTCCCCAGCCCCTCAGCCCTATTTACAGCCTGCTTTTTTTTTTTTTTTTTTTTTTTATGACTTTGCCAGAAACCTCAGGGCCCTTCTTCTAGAGTCACCAGACTACCTCCACCATGTGCCTGACGTGGCCTTGTTGATTGCAGCTGCTCAAGAGCAAAATGAAAACACAGCTAGGACGTCAAAAATACTTTACTGCTGGGAACAAGCTAGGGCTGTCACTCATCAGGAAGGAGTTTTAAAGTGATCTACTGTTTGCAACTCAATGAGGCAATGTCAGCAGAGAGCCCAGAGCCCAGCCCAGGGCATGCTTCAGGCAGGTCTACCTGCTTGGAGATGGAGCTCAGGTGCAGAGATATGGGGCAGACTCCACCTCACTGCACGGGCAGTGTGATCCTGACTCCCACTTCCCAGAGGAGGGCTGCTAGGCCAGCACAAACATCTGCAACATACACCTGGGAGTCACTGTCCTCTCTTAATTTACAAGCTGGCAGGCCGGAGCACACAATGCTCTCCTGTCACCATGCCCAGCGACCCAGAGCGCATGGAGGACAGCTTGACGGAACTTACCTTTTGTAAGGTAAGGTGGGTGCTCCCCAAGGCTCAGTAGCAGTCTTAGCTAGGGTCTGTGTCTCCTGGGGCAGGGTGTGCCTGACAAGTGACCAATGTCCTTAAGGCTGAGTTTAGACCCAGGTTCATCTATCATCCTAAATGCCACCTGCACAGAGGGCTGCTCTGAAGCCAGGTCTCATTCTCAGGGAGGAGTAGAAGGTGGAGAGCTAAAGGCAGGAGTCACCTTTTTCTGGCCCCACCTGCCTTAGTGACCGATCCGTGTGGGATATGTGAGGGCAGGGGAGCTCTGGCCTCTGCACTGCCCTGGCTCCCCACATCCAGCAGCTCTGGGAAGACCTGGGAGCTGGTTTGGATCCAAGACAGTGCTCAGTGGCCTGAGGTGAATCCCACCAATGGATGGGATCAATTTTGCCTAGCAGGCATTTAAAAGTATAGAGTTAGTTGCATTTGTAAGTTAGAAGACTTTTTTTTTTTTTTTTTTTTTTTTTTTTTAAAAAAAAAAAAAAAAAAAAAGCCAAAAAACCAAAGGAAAAAAAAAAAAAAACCAGTAAAAAACAAAAAATCAGAACACTTGACTGCCCTGGCCCATGTTCCTGTAGACTGACAGTAACCTGAGACAGGTTCTATACTCTGGAGTCTCCCAGGGGCTTCTCATCACAGAAGGTTTTCCTCACAACCTGCTGGGCTCCACAGTGGGCCCGAGAGGCCTACTTTGTTGGCTCCTTTGCACTTGATCCAGTCCCAAAGAACCCATCTTCCTGATACTATGCACTCAGCTTTACGGCCTACACTTTCAAATATGCAATAGTGACTTGAGAAAGTTCATTCTTCTCCTGAGACAAGAACCAGAATTTCTCTAGTCCTCTGTAAAGAGGTATAAGCAGTCCTAGTCACAGAACTGGGGCTTGAAAGCAGCATGTCATCAGCTCACTGCCCCGAATCACATCCCATCAAACACTAACATCTCAAGCTGGTCTGACTCACAGAGGCAGGCTGTATTTTCTCTCACACACATTTTCATGTCTGAACATTGCAAACTTGAGAAAGCAATAATCCTGGCCCATCAACCAAAGAATATGGTTGAGGGTGTGATGTGTGGTCCATAAAGTCATACCCACACACCAGACTGGTGGTGAGGTTTTCAGATTAGGTTGCAGGAACTGTTGTTTTCCTAGAGGCTTCTGCTACAGGGTTCACTGGGCAAACACAGCAGCCCTGTGAGCAGCAGCATGCTATGTAAGGACAACGACAAGCATAGCCATGTCCTGACCTTGTTTCCATGAAGTGCAGGATGTCCTCAGGCCTCAGGCACTTCTCCTGCTGGTAATATGCATGTGGCAGGAAGTGAAACTGAAGCTGGTACACCCGGAATTTGTTCTGCTTTTCCCCCATACAGAAGGTCTCCTCAACATCAACTTTCTGCAACACCTAGAAACAGATAAGGAGAACTTGGGTTTGTCCAAGTCCCATGTAACTGTACCACAAGTGGATTACGGGAAATGAAGGGCTCACGGAGATAGTAGATGGGCAGCAAACTCCAAAGATACTCTATTGTGCTCTCCTGGCGGGACTCCTTAGGGGGAGCAGGGGCTGCAGCTGGAAGCCTCCAGAGAGCAGCCAGAACTTGTGAGGAACGGGCTTCTGTGGAGCTGGTAAGCTCACCCAGGAAGAGCTCACAGCAATTTTTAAGCACAAAAGGATGATTATCTTTAAAAGCATCTAGATCCATCCCTGGCCAGTACTAGGCAAAGATGACTTCTTTTTCCCCCCTGGGAATCTGAGCTGAAGATCTGCAGTTGGCATGGCCTGCTGTGCTCTGATGGGGGTACACAGGCTCACCCTCCCACAGCATGCTGCTTGGGCACGAGTTACCTCCCCAAGGCACACTCTGGTGAGCTGCTTCTTCAGGCTCTTCACTCTCTTCAGGGCCCTCTTGGTGTTAAACACGGGCACACTCATCATAGGTGTCTTGATGTTGGCGCTGGCCACCATGAGAATCTCCCTCAACCTGCCGCAGGACAAGGGTGCGTCAGCTTATGAGGCAACCAGATCCCTTGTTTGCAGGAAGCCTCTTCTAAAGATGTCAGAGCTCTTCTGAGATGAGAGGGGAACATAGTGGATCACAGTCCTGCCTGGCCCTGGCCCGAGACAGCGAGGGACTTTCCCAGTCTCTTCCCTGAAGTGCCAGCTCCTTAACCCAGGGCTGTGTCTGATTTTTGGGCCCTGCACACAGTAGGTGCTTACTGAACGATACAGGGAGGACAGCTAGCATTTGCAGCACTTCTTCTGAGTCTCACCTAGGTGCTCATCAGCGCCCCCAGCCACCTGCCTATGGCCCTGCCCACAAGGGAAAGGTAGCTCTCTACCCTCAGGAGCTCTTGCAGCCCCACCTGGGAATGCCAAGAGTGACGTTCATCTCGCCTCTGCCTGCAAAGTGGAAAGTGTTCAGGGTCATCTGCGTGGAGGGCTCCCCAATACTCTGGGCAGCCAGCAGACCCACGGCCTCGCCTGGGTCACACAGTGAGCGCTGCCACTTCAGCTGCAGCAGCGTCCTCAACCTGGAGATGGCAAAGGGGAGAGAGGGTCAGGAGCAGGTACCAGACTGCCCACCATGCCCACACAAATCCAAAAGCTAGAATCCTCTGGCTCTTCCTGGGCTTGTTTTTCTAGGCAGATGATCCCTTTACTCTTTGTATTCTTGCCAAAGAGCCTATCATACTAAAATTATACAGTACAGACTCTAGCTGGCAGGAAAGCACTAGGCTTTTATATTTGCACTGTTCACAGGGGCCCCAAGAACATCATGCATCTGCTCTGGGCCAGTTCCTGCAGGAACCCAAAGCAGTGAGTTTCAGGGCTTATTACTGACATTTTTCTTTATTCACCTTATACCCCCAACCCCAAACTGTGACAGACTGGAGAGGGCTTAAACCTTTGAATGTACAAATTAGAAAGGTTCAGGCTAAGCAGTGAAGAACATGGTAAAGTACCTAGTAAAGAGCCTCACCAGTGCAAGTGACTGCACAGCACACAAGGGTACGCAGGCCACACAACTCTGCAATGCACTACCTACTCTCCTTACAACAGTGGCCTTTTAGGAAGGGCAACCAGGAAATGCTAACACCTGGCACACAGAACAGGGAAGGGGCTCAACAAAGGCACACATGTGGGAACTGTTTTGTTGGGGAAGGGCAGCATCCTGAAACTACAATTCTCTGCAAACTCTTCTAGGTGTTGGAGAAGGGTAGTACAACCTCCTGAGCTGCAGCGGTGCAATAGGGGTGGGGTGGGACAGTCAGCTGGCTGGAATCGGAGGTCCGGCTGGAGAAAGCATGTGAGAGGGCCAGAATGATATGCCACACTGGGTCTTCAGCTTTACAAGCTTAGTGAGCTGTGTGGGTAGGACCCAGAAGGATGCCAGGCAGCACCCTGGTGACTCTTGTAATACTTCGACATCTGTGCTGGCTCAAGCAGCTTCCCACCCACCCACACTATGGGTTTCAGTCAATTACTGGTGGGAGGGAAGAAGGGAGGAAGGGAGGGAGGGAGGGAGGGAGAGAGAGAAAGAGAAAGAGATATCTAAAGGTCTAAGCTGAGGCCTCCATGTGGGCCTTCCTCCTTAAGGCTGTAAACCCAAACCTCCAAGGACCATGAGTTCTCATCTTCAAGCCCTCAGAAAAGCTAAGACATGATGTCCCAAGACAGTGAATGATCTCCCAGTGTCAGAGCTGGCAGCACCTGCATGGTGACCAGATGGATTCCTTCACTCATGCTGCCATGGCCACCACACAAAATTCAGTAGGGGTGGGGTGGGAGTCAGCTGGGTGGAACTGGAGGTCTGGCTGGAGAAAGCATGTGAAAGGCCAGAACGATATGCCACTTCTACAAGCCTTTGTCCCAGAAGAGGTTCTTCTGAGTCTCGGCCTAAATGAGAAGCATGCCCACTTCTGCCTACCTACTCTGGTCTGTTCCAGAGTTCTTAGGACCTTCAAGACACTCCTTGGTGTCTCCTATCCCTCCCTCCTGCTTGAATCTCCTGCCCGGAGGGAATCTACTTGCACACACGGGGAAACAAGTCAGTGTCCTCACCTGTCGAGGGAAAGCTCCGATTTCTCATAGCTCCTCTCTGCTTGGGCTGCCCACTCCTGGCTGTAGTCATCAACTTTTTTTTCAAATGTTTCAGACACAGATGCTAAGTAGATGTCTGGACGCCAGACAGACAGACTGGGGTCAGGACAAGGGGCTGCTTTCTTCTGGTATTTCCGACGGCTCTGTTCATCCAACTCATACCACATCTGCAACATCTGAAAGCAGGGCAGGAAGGTCTTAGCTACATAGGAGAGGGCCAAGAGTAGGCCTCTTCTGAGACACCTAGCAACCTATGCAGGCTCAAAGGCACTGGCTCCAGATGACAGCATGGAGTACAGTTAAGACTGGGACCTGCGTGGGATGAGAAAACCACCTCCACAGTTAAAAGGGGTGGGGGGAGTCTGAGTGTGTCCTCCAGGACTCTAGCAGCTGCTCCTCCTGGGCCACTCAAGCAAAGATAAGGAGACCACATAATTGACTGTCCAACTGGGACTCTTCTGGAGACTGACAGGGGCATGTTAATGCTTATGTTCGACCAACAGCCAAAGCGACCTGTCCTAGGCCAACCAGGACAGTGAAGTGAATGTGCTGGACCCCAGTTAGCCCCAGATACAGGCTGCTCCATGGCCTCCATGCCCCACAAGCAGGTTCAGTGACTGCTGACTGCTACCAAGAGTGCCTATCCTCCAGCTTCCAGCTGTGTCTAGTTAACAGGAGGAGCCAGGAGCACAGTGGGAAGCAGAAGAGCGGTGCTGGGCTTTACCCCTGACCTCTCTCTAATGGCTCTCCACTTGGTGCTCCACTCACAGCCACCCTGTCCATTTCTGATGATCATTCTCCCCATGTCTACACACCTGGGGTGGTGAGAAATCCTGAAGTCACCAGCCCCAGTAAAATCCCCTGACCTTACACACTCCGGGGAAGTTCCCTCTTTACTTTCTTATGTGACTGCCATTTGTGTGTTCTGGTGGATTTCACCATCACACTGTCTTTGAGGGAACCCCTCATCCTTCACCCAGCTACGGCCACAACGTGCCAGCGCCCCCACGTTACCTGCTGAGCCTCTGGGCTGCGGCCATTCTGGTTCTTGCCCTCAAGGTTCAGGGCTCTCACTGCTGCTTGAATCTTTTGGGAATAACTGAGGAAGGCGCCTCTCCTCAGCAGGGTGCTGGGATGTTTGCTGTGCCATTTTTTGATGGCTCTGAAGTGATGGAGAGCTTTTTGGGATTCTCCTCTGGACAGAGCTTCATGGAGATGCTTGGATTTCACTATCACCTAAATAAAGCAAGCATTTGAAAGATGAGAGATGAGAACGATAGAAGGATAATGCTATACAAGTTCACAGGACCCAGGAGGAACCCTCTGGAAGTCTCACACCCACTGCTGATCAGGGACCTTTATGCAAACCAGATGTGAGAGCCAGAGCAGTCATGGGCAGCAGACCAGCATACTCAGAGCCCCTCCAAGAACAGAGAGTTCTGGGAAAAAGGAATTAGATGGCCATAGTGCTGAGACAAGTACCACAAAGAACCCTTGATTCTGCCATCAGATAGGGAACCTTGGACAAACTGAGACAGTTTTAGTTTCCTAATATAGTAAGCCATCAACTTACGAACATTTGAGTTGTGAACTTCCAGACAGGAACAGACCTTGCAATAGTAATAAAACAGAAAATAGCTCATGTATCTACCTTTTCATTTTTAGGGTATTATAAAAGTAAAAAGTTTGTTTACAATATTTTTGCGGTTGTTTACTTTTTTTTTATATTCTACATTGTGTATCTATGTCAAAAATGAGATTCACTTTGTCAGATTTACAAATGATCCCAACTGACAAACGCTCTCCCAGAATGGAACTTGTTAAGTTGGGGATTTACTGTATGCAAACTGGGGTGACTGCTCAGCCAACAGTGATGGGCATTGCCAGAGCTGTATAGCAGTGTGAAAATCACCAGAGTGCTTTGGGCAGGCCTGGGTTGAAATACTGACTTAGCAGCTGGCTACTTTAGCTCTGACCCTCAGGTGCCCCAACTATAAAATGGGCAGAGTGCTGCTAACTTCCTCAGTTGTAGCGAGGGTGAGAGTTCAACATGCTTTATATCTTAGGGCCTAGCTCGTGGAAAGCACCGCGAATAGTGGCTGTTACTCTAGAGGTGCCGATGACCTCTCACCACCAAATGTGATTGAAGACCACAGAGGCTTGGGAAATGGCAACTGTTTCAGGGCCTGGGTGGGTGCTATGTGAACCCACCCCACTTGACTTTTTGATGGCCAGTGGACAGGGTGAGAGTTCAGGGTGCCAGCTCCTCTGGCCCCATGTGGGAGCCCCCAAGCCCCAAGGCCCAGGGCGGGACCACCTCATAGTTGCTGGCCAGGAAGGGGAACTGCTTGGGCTGCAGGAATGGTGTCTTGGGGATGTCCAAGCCGTCCTCTCCATACAGGAACTGCACCACGCTGCCATCGCTGTCACGGACTGTCAGATCATACTGGACGACCAGCCCCTCCAGATGCTTGATGATGCACCTGGAAGGAGACCATTAGCTCAGTCCCTGGAGGTGCAGCTCCAACAGGTGACAATGCAGGGGAAGGAGGGAGCACTCTGTTCTGCAGCCAAGCTCCCAGCACATGCCAGCTCCTGTGCCTCAGCTCTGGGCTCTGGCATTCCCCAAACAGGGGTTGCATCTCCTCACAGTTTTCTAGAAGGTGCCCCCAACAGTGTGGCTGAGAGGCCTGGCTGTCACTGACAGAACTGGCTCCCACCTTGCTCAGCTGCTGGGGCTACAGCCAGGCCCTCCACCCACTTGCTCCCCAGAGCCTAGCACACTTAGAGCCACAGGCAGGAGGGGCAGGGGAACTGGCAAGGATTCTGGAACTGTCAGTTCAGTGACTGTCAGGGACACTAAAGGTCATCCAGAACTGTCAGCTGATGTAACACCCCTCAACTGGTGGCCTTTGTCCTCAGTTTGCCTGTCTAGCTGCCTTGCCCAACCTCTCCTGTGCCTTGGTCCTGGCCTTGTCTCCTCTCTGGCCACTCTGCCTCAGTTTTCCTTGTGTCCTCCTGCAAGGGGGCTTCTAGGAGCCCAGGTCCTCTCTCCTGACACCCACCCTGAGCTCTGAGGACAGAATTAGTCACCACAGTGCTCATGGTGCCCAGCCCCAGCCTGGTCAGGCTGGTGCTGAACACTCATCCTGTTTTGCTGCCCAGGCTGACATGCCAGTCTTTGGCCCTTCTTCCACTGATCTCACAGGGCACCAACAACTGGCCCCCATGGCCACAACACCAGGCCTCACCTCAACAAGTCTCCCAGGTGTGTCTGCCTCTAGGATCCACGTGTTTCTATCTCATGCCTAGCCACACCTCCTCTGCCCCACAGCACCCTGCCTCTAGTCAACAGCAGTGCTGCCACTCAGGCTTGTGCCCATGCCCTCAGTACACCTGCTTCTTTCTTTCCACTGCCTCCCACTTCCAGCCTGGGCCGGCCCACTCCAGGCTGAGGGGCTGCATTTGCCTGCCACATGCAAGGGTCTTAACCTGCTCTATGCTGGAAGCTGAGCCTGCAGATGTCTGTGCCTTTACCCCAGAGGCTGCTACTCTTCTATTCTAGCCAGGAACCTCGACACCCTCCCTCTGCTCACCCTGTTTTCAATGGGCCTTGAAGCCTCCTGGTTCTACATAAGAAATTTCCACTCCTCCTCATCTGATCATCTGTTTATCAGTATTTTTCTATACACATATATTCTTGAATAATTTAGAGGGAACAGAAGTATAACCTCTGCTCATGTGTGAATGGGTTGTGATACCCCAGCCCCTGGGAAGGAGAACAGGGCCTGGCTACACCAAGTGCTGCTACCTGCTAGGCACGGCCAGCTCCTCAGGCAGGACCCTTGCCAACAGTCTCCCAGGTGTGCATCTGCCTCAAGCCCACTTTCCCTTCCCACCCCAACGCGATGGATGGCAACCACGGGAATCAAGAGGGAGGGGATCAGAGCATGGTATGCAGGTTTAGGAAATGAGCTCAGAAACAGAAGCTAAAACTGATGGGCAGAATTTTAGGAGGAAAAATGTAGCAGGCAGTTCTCTGAGGACGTACCTTAAAACATCTCCATTTCCTATCATTATTTCTAACAGCATGGGTTCTGTGAGCTCAGGATGAACCATGACCAAAAGTCCACAAAATCAACTTCCCACACTGCATCTCAGAGGAGTGTGGAATGCGGAGATCTGCTCCCCATTCCACTGAGCTCTGGAGTCAGGCTTTGTTTGAAGTGTTTTCTGCCTGAATCAAGACTGGTTACAGTGCTGCTTATTTCCTTTCCTCTCAGTAAGGAGAGGAGCAAGAAGGTCTGGGCTGGGGAACCACAACATGATGCCTGTAAAGGAGGGCTCGTTACTCACAGACTCATAGACAGGGACCCTGGAGTCCTCTGCACAGCCCTGGGCCACCAAGCCTCTCAGAAGAGGACAAGTTTAGCACTGCCTGAGACCTCTTCCTATGTCCACAGCTCCCACAGGGCAACCAGAGTTGCCGAAGGCAAGGTTTACACATAAGCCTCTAAGGACACACTCTGCCCCTCCTGTGGACAGGGAAGAATACCTGCTGTTTCCTGCCTCAGCCACACACGAACACTATCATAACGTTTTTATTTTTTTTGTTTGTTTTTTTTTTATTTTTTTCTTTTTGTTTTTTTTTTTATTTTTTTCTTTTTTTTTTATCATAACGTTTTTATCAGCCAAAGATTCTTTAGCAAAAGATGACAGGTACAGGGCCCTGGGACAATGGCCATATCGAACAGGGACGCCTTGGTGGTTTACCTTTGGAGGTAGCCAGAGCGGCTGGTTTTCACAGCTGTGTCCACTAGGCCTTCTCGCCCTGCCATACAGTGAAAGAAGAACTCCTGCAAGAGAGGGGGAGCCAGGTCCCAAAAGTGACAGTGAGCACTCTGTCTTCCTGGAGGGCCACTCCAGCGACATGCTCAGCAGCATCTATTGACCAGATGGCCCACTCCTCCCCCTTCTCCTGGGCCTGTGGCTCTGAGGGCACTAATGGCCTCCAGTAGCATCTGCTGTCCCCTGAATTCTGGGTCTTTTCCTGATGGAGGGTAGCATGGATCAGAGGCAACAGGAGTTTACAGGAGTCAAGTGCCCTTTGTATCCATTTGTATCTCCTCAGAACCTTACCCCATGTCTCTTCCCTAAAAGAAACAGCACTGATGCCTCTCCACTGTCTGGTTCAGCCTCTGCACCTGGGTTCTGCTTCCAACAAGGGAGCAGAACAAAGAGTGTTTTCTAAAATTCTTTAGCCAACCACAAGATACATTTATAAAAGTAATCACCAAATGCAGACTATACACACAAGCAGATAAAGACATAAAACTCCAACCAAACCTTAGGGCACTAGCCTGTTCCTTAGTAGGATAAACTCCGATGCTTCATCTCGCCATTCTGTTTCTTTACACAAAGGAATGGTGGTCATAACCCACTACAATGATTTGTGAACTCACCAGGGGGTCATAGACAGAAAACGAACATTTTTGGTCTGCATCAATGCTCTACCCTCCCATGCCAGAGGCCATAGGTGACCTTGGGAGAGGGAGGAGCTGTGGTCAGTCAGTGGTCTTGGAATAATTTATAATCCCAATTTAGGGCTGGTGAGATGGCTCAGTGGTCTAAAGCACCTACTTAGAACAAACTTAGCAAAAGCATCAGGGACCGCGGTTCAATCCCCCAGCACCACATGCCAGCCAGCCCTGCCCCCTGGTGGGCTGAGCTGGCGCCTCTCTCTCTCTCTCTCTCTCTCTCTCTCTCTCTCTCTCTCTCTCAAATAAATAAATAAATAAATAAAATTAAAAAAAAAAATCCCAATTTAGTGATCTTTCAGACATGCACTGCAACAAGGAACAAAAGGTACCAACATTCAGAAAGCCACTGCTGATGAGTGCAAGAAGGCTTCCTCTTAGGGGAGAATTCCACTGTGAACATTTGCTACAGCTGGTCAACTCTCCCACAGTGGAGGAATCATGGGAGGTTCTTGGGAGGCAGGGGATGGCTCCACAGAAACCAAATCTCCATGATGCTCCTTTTGGTAATATAAATACCCCCAGGGAGTGACACTCCTTTTTCCAGCTGCTTCAAAGGAGGCTAACCAGGCTTAAAGAGAAAAAGCCAGGGCCAAGACTGGATCAGCTCACCTTTCCATTCCTCAGCACACTGAGTGCCTATTGTGTGCCAGTATATACACTATAGTGAAAAGCTGGTGTAGATCACATGGTTGTGTCATCATGGGACCCAGGGTTAAGGCTGCAAGTGGCTTGGCATTTATCACCTGATTGCCGTTGCTCAAAGTTATTGCTGGGGTCAAAGTCATCTGTCATTGAACCTAACCATGAGAAATGAGGAAAACCACCAAATGAAATAGTAAAATACACATACGGGAGGCTTAATGCCGGTGAGAAACCTTCCAGTGACGAAGCCACCAGCCCTAGGGGTGAATTCATAAGGCTCAAAGCAGGGTAGTGACTTGCCAGATGCCATCAGTGGGGGTCTCCGACCTTCCAATTCAATCTGGCCCAGCAGGCATGAGATCTGGGGAAAGGAAACCCAAATGGAACAAGATCCTTGTGTGTGTTAAAAATAACAACCCTCCCCTCCCACTTCTGTTCTATCAAGGAAGGAACAGCCTGGCTCTTTAAGAAAAGCTACATGGGGACAGAGTTCTAGCCAAACTAGACAGATAGATAGAAAGATAAATAGACAGATAGATTTCTTTCCCTTCTTCTGAGACAGGGTCTCACTATGTAGTTCAGGATGATCGTCAACTTGCTATGTATACCATGCTGGCCTCAAATTCACCAGGATCCTCCTGTCTCCCCCATGCCTAGCAAACTAGATTTTAAACAATCCAGGAAAGCTTGTGTTTCAAGAAAAAGAATGAAAAACAAAACAGGTATTCAGATCTGTCAAAAGACATCCCGATGGGCTGGAGAGATGGCTCAGTGGTCTAAAGCACCTACTTAGAACAAGCTTGGCAAAGCATCAGGGACCGCGGTTCAATCCCCCAGCA